TGTGAAATCGTGTGGTTAAAGTGTCTTCAGTTGTGCCACTCCGCAGATTCACAAGAGTTTACAGGTGGAATCGTAGTGAGACTTATTGAACAACTTGAACTAGCGAAAGTAGCTGAAGAGTTTCTAAATTCTTCTGTTTAAGCCGAACACCACCGGATATTGTTGGCCAGATCATCAAGTCGTCGAGCACAGTTTTACAGACCAACAAATGTTATTTTTTGCATAGGGGATACTGCCCTCTTTGCAGTTGTCTATCTACACGGGTTCGTGCTAAATTGAAAAAGTGTTCGACACTCATCTACACCTTCTTCTTAGTGGGTGGGAGAAATCAAACAAGAGGATAGAGGAACAGAACGAACGGCGAATAAAACAACGCTTTATTAGTCAATCACCGAAAACATTCAAAAGTTTGTCTTGCTGATCTCTAAGCTACTACGTGTTGTTGCCATTTTCGAGATCGACTGTGACTTCGGCATTATGCTTAGACAGAGTAATTTCTTGCGAATCCATACACGATATGGACGGACGAAATAGAATGACGTAACAGGACAGAAAACAGGAATACAGCTAGCCAGAATAAAGGTAGCATACTCAAGAAGTGGATGGTTATAGATACTAAGCTGCCCGAGTGCATAGGTGATAACGGCAAATAAGAAAAATATCGGCAAACATGCCTGGATAGTGAGTGCCTGGAACAAGGTCACTTCAAATCAGGCATTCCATCTACATAACGTATACTAGAAGTAAGATTTGATGGAAATAGGTTATGGAAATTCAATTATATTTCCACTTTTTTACACAATAAAGACATCACGACTTCAATAATTATTCACCTGCTTTACTTACTGTAACTTGGCTGTATAGTGCTTCACTTGACACTAGAATTGAACCCACTTATTCTTTATTCCATGACCGGCTTTTAATCATTCTCGGCATAATAAACGTAGTATTAGGTCATCCCATTCAAAAGTGCCGAGACATATAGAGGAATGGCAGAAAAGCAAAGGGGATAGAGCAGCGGGCTACTATACCATTTGGAAGCTAGTACCTTTAGCTATGTATCTGTGAAATTTGGCGAACCTAGCCCACAGAAGAAGTTCTCGAGAAATTGAAAAGAAGCCCGAGTGGTGAAAATCGGCGCCGGTTTTTCAAATCAGACGTCATAAGAGGAAAGTGCGCTGCTCAAATTTGACCTGCGCCGGACCATAGTTGTGTGTAATGGTGTTCTCGAAATACAGGTGGAAGTTTGGTTCAGGAGCCCGAAGAAGGAAGAAAGGAAAAAATTTGTTGTCGTGGATGGTCCCATAATGTTCATCCTGCACAAGAAAAAAGGGTGGATGAAGTCAAGCGCTGAATGTCTGATCACAGAGCCTGGACCTTTGTCGAGCTTCCCCGCGAGACTGACATCCCTGCTGCAACTGCTGCCCGAGTTATGTCCGATAAACTGAGGATGGTCAAGAGGGTGTGCGCATGGGTACCTAATTTTCTTGTAGAAGCACGAACGCAGTACCGATTCTATGCCTCTAGCAGTAATGTTCTCAGCATGAGATGTCATTCACGACTGTGAAAACGCACCCCGGCCCTAGATGAAATGTGGGTGGTCTTGGACCTCGAGCCAAAACTCAGTCGTCAATTTTGTATGAATGCAGATGAGAAGCCGCCCGAGTTCTACCATGAGGAGTTACGTGGGCGCAAGTGGATGATCATCATAGCGAAGGATTCCCACACTGTGGCTTTCAAGGGCTCTATACAGAGATCGTCGCTGTCGGTGTATATTGCCTGTTCCTCGGCAATCAGATCGACAAATGGATGATACCACACAACTACAAGAAGGCCACCGTTGCTCGTCGACCCCGAGTAACTGTACTGTGGGGCAGTGATGGGACACAAGCAATACTGAGACCTGGGTTCAATCGCCCCATTCGCTCAACATAAAGCCGTTCGATTCCAACTGTTCTGGTCAGTCGAGAGTACTCTCCGACGGCAAACGCTACAATGTTTTGTCATTCGCCGAAATTGGCATCAACAGCAATTTACTCGCACTTGTTGAAAAATCGAAGGTACCAGAGGTCCAAAGGCTTTCGGGGCACTGGGAGCGGGTCATTGGTGAAGGAGGGATTTACTTAACTCAAAGCTAAAATATTACATTTCTGGCCTATCTCCTCTTTGTTTAATCAAATAAAACCGCGGCACTTTTATATGGGAACAACCTACTTACTGATATATATGTTTGCCAGAATTCCGGGATCGGTGCAGACAATTTATTAGTTTGAGGTCAAAGGAAAAAATTGCCTTCTTCGAGGCCTACAATATCAAAGCACACTAAGTATTCACCCACTGACCACGCTCCCTTGATTGAGAGTATACAGAGCCTATTCAAAGTACAGAGTGGTTGAAATCGAGGATTATACCTGAGAATCAGAAGCGTCTCTTGCTTAATATCAACAAAAAGGATTGTGAGACGTCGTTATTGACAACGAAAGAATTCCCTTTTCGTTCTTAACCCAAATACGGGCTCACCTTGAGCAGTTGCTTGTGAAGTTGCTTGCTGTTTTCTGACATAATCCTTTCCTGGGTAAGCTTTGCCATTGTCAGTTTTCTGAGAATAAGAATGGCAGTGTAGACCGGAGCTATTGGTAACGTCATGTGAAGAATCGTCCCTAACACCTTCCAGTCGAAAATGTCCAAATGGCCGCTCACACATTCCCGTGTCATATCATAGTTGAATTTCTTCGCTATTAATAATTTCACTTCCTCTACATTGTCGCTACCAAAGCAGAAACTCACCTAAAATTAAAATCAATGTTTAACACAACACTTTGGATGAATTTTACACTGATGCCGCCAAAATGCCTGTATAGGTTGCAGTTGGGAGACAAATGATGCAACATGAAGGGGTGCCTTCAGCCAAAATTTTTTCCTCCGTCTGAATGAGATCCCCATTCACTGGCAGTGAATAGTTTTCGTTACAGAATCATCGAAGATCCCCTGGCATCTGATGCCGCACATCTGCTCAGCGGACGTTATTCTAACCATAAGTCATTTTTTCCAAGGTTCTGCTGAAGGACGACGTGCGTTTGAGTCTTCACCTAATATCAATAAGCATCAATGGATCTCTATTCCCCATAAAACGGACATTCGAGGAATTTGTAAAATAGTGAGTGAGGCCTGAACTCCCGAAGTAATCGTGATCATTGTATACGAAAATTGTTGTCATTCATGGCGCAGAGTTGATGAGTTTTGTGAGTAGATACTTCGATATCCTTGGAATGGGACAGATTTGGTTGCAAGGGATCACAGTTGTTCATGTTCAATAAAATACTCATCCGTCCACCCAATCCCTGGGGTAAGGAGTATAGTTGATATCATAGCGGATCATATCATAACCGGGGCGGAGTAAGTCCATCCCCGGCTGCGTTTTCTTTTTATCAATCAGGACTAAAGCAGTTATTGATGAGGATGCCACATTTGACACATTCCATGCCTGTTGACAACAAACAAAATTTCGATATCAAGTATATGGGGACATGCCCTCGCAGTGCGGGATATGGACTGTCTTTCCGCATGTCATCAGTGCAGGACAACAGAATGCTGATGCGATTAATTGCGCTGTCCGTTGTTCCACGTGAGAGTATCATGATTATAACTATAATTTGTTCAATATATTTAGCAGCTTAATGAGTTTTTGGGGTGGAGATGGAGTAGTGACAAGCGACATGCCAGCTCGGCCGGCTAGGACCTAACCATGCTGACCAAGCATCCTCCTCTCCGGTAATCGGTACCAGTTTTATTTAGTGAGAAAACAGTGAGTTGTACATCGGCTGGTATAGGCGAAATCGCATGGAATAAGACACTACGATTCTGAATGGAAGTGGAATGCCCCGCGCCTCAAAAAGGGACTTGTTAACGGCAGAGACTTCATCATTTCCAATTAATTTCTAGATTGGGTGCGTCTTCTCAAAAAACGGAACTTCCGTCCGTTTCTAATTTGATTACAAAGCCATGAGCGGAACTCACAAACTGAACGAAGGATGGTATGTAGAGTAGGAAAATAATGAGTACGACGGTTCTAGTTTTTGGCTGCGAATGACTCAAAATATAGTACCGGTATGCGAAGGAGTACAACAAGCTCCATAGCCAGTGAGAAAAGCAATGCAACATAAAACTGTATCTGAAATATGATCAATTACTTAGGGGAACTAGGCAGTACAGTCTTGTTCGAGGAGATGCTGGGACGTATCAGGGCAGCTGTGTTTGGCACGAGATACATTTTCTAGCAATTGCTGTCACTTTTAATTCTTGACCACTGGAGAAGAACGGGCTGCGTCGAACTGAACCGAGCCCTCTGAGGCGTCCCACTATCAGCAGCGAACGACTTCTCGGCGTTGAAAATTTACCAAATGAAAGAGAATTAACCAACTGACCCAATATAGCATGTCATGGATCCAAAGTATCTGCACGGTCCATGAGAGAAATAAAATAATGCAGAACCACCAGGGATGAGCCTGAACTGTGAGAAATGTGAAGCAATCGCAATGTTGCTCCATTTTAAGGATTACATTACATCATGACGTTGAATGATTGGCTCGCGGAGGTGGAAGTTGCTCGCTTGCCGCGCGTGCGTTCCAAAGGCCAAACTGCGGATCAGCGCATTTTGACTTGATTGGAGCACCCTTGTGTGCATCTCAGTTGCTTAGGGAAGTTTGTACAGAGCGCCTTGTGAAGAACTGTAACTCCCCTTGTATCATTTCACAGCTTCACAAGAGCTCAAGGATATCACGAAAGGGAGCCTTCTTGGTCAGCATGTCCCTCAGCCATACGGCAGCTTGGATCAACGGCGGAAGCTCTACCTCCTATTACACAGAACTAGCACTAATATTACAGCTAAAGCAGAGTTCAGACTTTGCGATGACGCGCATTAACCTGCTACATTGCAACAGAATCCTATAGAGGCGAATGCAGCCGTAGAGGGGAGTCGAGCCGCAGTGCCCAGTGCCGATCGATACCAGACTATGATTGGGTAACTTTCTCCATGGAATGCACAAGCGGCCAGCTCTGATCGATTCCTGTCTGCGGCTGCGCTCGTGGCTATAGCCTTGAAGCGCTGTTGCAATCGTACGCGTTACAGCGCATTACAGCGCGCCGTCACGAAGTCTGGACGCTGCCTAAAAATAGGTGTCTTATCCGAAAATATAGTTTTCGAAGGGTCAAGTCTTTGCACGAGGTAGCCCCTAGGTTAGCCTGTTTGAGGCACTGTCGCCGTATGGCTGGTATCACCTAATTTTGAACCTACAGATGCTCTAACATCATGATATGCGGTATGCGGGGCTAACCAAGGCGGTAAGTACCTAGTCCGCATCTCATGATCTTGGAGCATCTGTAGATTCGAAATTAGGTGATGCCAGCCATTCGGCGGCAATCTGAACGTTGATCCAGCTGCGCATTCGGCACCATATTCTCATTTTGGGGCAGCTGCAATCATGTCTCTGTGCAACACAACATCTAACAGAATGTAAGCTTACAATCGTCTAAAACTGAAAGTTCCCGCAATTGTCTGTAGTGCTTTATCTGTAGTGCTGCATAATCTTCAAATGAAGTACGCAGTCGCTCCAATCGGGATGGGCAGCTTAATACTTAATACTTAATACGTAATACGGTAACCTTGCTCCATCTCATTCCAAAACAGGTCTACAAGAAACAGGTGTTCATTTCGACAGTGCGGTCACTGTCTAGGGGAAGGATAGAAAGTGTTAAGTTTTCGCCGTTGATTAATCCCTTTTCGGGATGAGGTACGCATTTACTCCGTAGAATCGTAGCGGCTTACTGAATGCGATGTGGCTGATACAATGACTTGGGGGAGCCAACCGACGCACACCTCTCGGACGAATGTTTTACCAGTTTACCATTACAAGACGAAAGAAGGCTTGGTTGGCCTAGGTAGGAGCCGACACGGAGTTTGACCATCGGATCGCGTGCGTGGCAAGCTTGCCACTTGCCACTACACCACCTGCCTCCTGGTAGTTCATGATAAGCCACTCCACCCAGTGAGTGGTATAACATTCTTCGAGCGGTGTCCGTTTCCAAAAGTGGCAATGACTGCCAACGTTGCAACAGAGGCCTATTTTTTATGGTGCGGGGTTGGCTATCAATTAAGTTTTTCCTCTACTTCTCAACGCTTTTGCCCGAGAGTGAGAGTAGACATGGACTTTCATCGGCCGACCACGAAGTCGCAGTGCTGTACTAAAATTACTCTATTTTCTGGTACAAGTCGCACCCGTGTATAGGGCGCGCCTTCGCCTCGCACCGTATTTTCAGGAGTTCTGGTCTATGGGAGTGGTCTCTTTCAGATGTTGATTTTTCGTATGCAGTTAGAAGATTTTATGCAAAAAAGACTAGAAAATTTGTTGTTGTTCCGAAAGTTGACGCGAACATGCAAATAAATGCGCTTTACAACCCATAAAATTGGGTGAATGCTTCTAAGTGAAATGAAAGTGTGAATGGCGCATTCCAAAAAAAGGATACGACTGCACCGACAGACAAATTAAACATGGTGCAATCGTGAACAGGAACAACTACTGACCTGAAATGTACCCATTTCGTCCAGGGATACGGCGTGATCTGGCATGAACTTGGGGTGTATGCGGTCATGATCCCCGTAAGCGATAGGACGAACGTGTGATGGGCCGCGGACTGGAGCGCTGCCAAGGAGGCCTTATTCGGTAATGATGCCATCCTGAGCCCGCAACATCTGGCGGGATAGGCTGCTCTGGCGGCGATCCCACTGACTCCTCTAACACGCCTTATCGCTTGCTGGCATCCTGACTATACTTCTGTGATGGTATGGCCTTTCCTTGGGTTAGCTGATAGTCCTTATGGCTTTCCGTAGAGTTCTGTGAAAACCGTGCATCTGTTCGTATTCAGAATAAAGCTGAAAGAGCATACAGTCCTTATCACAGAAGTCAGCCAGAACGTGTCACCGAGCGTGGGTTTCGCGCGACGTCAGTCCCTCTTCCATAACTCCCCAAACGCTGGAGGCAGCAACGAACGATGAGATGAGGTTTGGCGCCCGCCGAATCCATGCTCGCCGAAAAGCCCCGACTGAGAGCGATAAGGACTGTGAATATGTTAAGCACAGCATAAATTGACCATACCTTTGCTGGACGAAGAAAGCAGAGGCACATGTGAGAAAGTCACAAATGGCAAAATTGAATATGAGAATTGAATAAGTGGTGAGTCGCTGTGGGGTCCTTTTCAGCACCAGATATATTAATAGACCATTAGTGATCAATCCCAGAATATTCGTTGTGCTATGTAGAATATCGCTGAGCAACAGCATCCAATCCATCATCTAAAAAAACTGTGGGAAGACTGGTGACCGGAAGATCAAGTAGCGAAAATATACACCGCGAGATCGCATCTCTGTGAGACCGCAGGAGATATCAACGTTCAAGAGAGACAGTTAGATAGAGCAAATTTATCTATACTATAATCCTACATTATATATAAACGGTAACGTCTGCCTGTCTGTCTGTCTGCCGTCTCTCTATCTGTCTGTTTCTGCGCTCTGTCTTCACTCTGTTGTGTCTGTCTGCCTGTCTGGCTGTCTGTCCGGAGGGAATTCGGGCATTAACTGAAAAGCCAGATTTGGTGTCTGGGGGGAGAGGGGTGATGCAGGTACGCATGGGTAGGGCATGGGACAAGATGTACGGAACACACGTGAACTGGGCTAAGCCCCATCCATGTGTGCACAGTTCTGTGCTACATATTTCAAAAGTTCATAATTTGGTTTCGGAAGGGCCCGGAGACCGGCAAATGTGGCATATGATAGGCAATCGCTTGGCGGACGAAATGAGTGAGACACACCCATTGTGGGGCGGGGCGTCTCTATAATGTGGCGGTGCTTTGCCGGAAAACAAGAGCCCCCGGAGCAGTGGCAAAATGTGAGGCCAAATGATAGGCAATCCATTGGCGGCACGAAATGATGGAACATACCATGAATGAGACACATCCATTATGGGAGGAGGGGTTCGTTCACGCACGTGAAACGGGAAAAAACGATAGTCTACAGCCGGAAAAACTTCTATCACAGTTTGATGAGAAACACCGACATGACTAGATACACCGAGTACATATCCCTCTCTCTCTGTGATGGGGACCTCCCATCTTTCTGTTCCTAACGTACTTTTAACAAACGATGTACCTTTCAAGAGCCAAGCGTTTCGTCTTCAATGTAAGACGGTACAGCGCGATTCCCTTAGACATTTAGGGACACCAGAATGGACCACAATCTTGGAGGATAGCTGAACTGCTTCAGTTTTTGATCTTTACAACTGGTTTTCGATGCAAATAAAATTCTTCCTGGAGGATACCGTTGTTGAATGTCTGCTCCTCCATGGGGTTCTAGTGGGAACTATTCGCTTCAGCATGCTGAGCTGAGCCCGTACATTCCAATGCCTGACGCTCAGGCCCTGGAACACCCATGTCATATCACACATGATTACAGAGGTAACCGCTCCATAATCTATTTAGGGCATCCTGATGCATACGCAAGCGAGGTGATGGCAGACTTCAAAGACACATTCCACGATTGCCTGATAAATAGATCCCGCCCCTCGCACGAATGGTCCTGTGAGCAATGGAGGTCCCACTTTCGCGGCTAGACAGTGAGTGATGACAGTACCAATTTTATTATAAGGTGAAGGATCTCTACCCGCAAAGGTTGCATCACCTTTAGAACGAGTTGCACAGAGCCCTATATTTGTTCGCACAGAACGCGTTGCGTTTAGACTTTGTGGAAATATCCTGTTATCTCTCTCATCTCCCAACCTGTCTTTCCTGTCCTCTGTCTCTGGTCCCCCAACTCTCACGCAACAGTATCTCGCTCCTTGGTATACTCGTCCAAATTCACGACTCATAACCATGAAATTAGTCTTAGATCGCCTTGCGTTATGGACCCATGGCTTCGACCCATGTCCAATAAGACTCTCAATGATGGAGGTCCTCATAAAATTGTTCGGGAAGCACACCACCCGGAAATCCCATCAAGCCTGTCTGCTCGACGTGATGAAGACAGTAGGCATAATAACCCGGCTCTCTACTAGAAAACAGAAGTGGTGAAGCTGAGAAGTGCGAAACTGAAGAAGAACTGAACGAAAGGGTCTAATACCGTCAAATAGGGCCCTTGCTAAGCGCATCAGTCACGAGTTGGTGGAGCACACGCCTACGGCAGGTCATCGTTAATCAGCGACCTATGCGGAAAAATCACTGCCATTGCAAAGTAACTGTGAAAAAGGACGTGTTTTCGAGCGGCAACAAACCTAAGACA